GAAGCTTTATTGGTCAAAAGTTTATTATACCAGCTACCACTATTTATGGCTTTGAAGTTACTATGTTAGAGATGTCACCCAAAGACTTTTAAGACTAGAGCTTTGGAATTATTATGTCAAAGATGTCAACCGGAAAGACTTAAAGTTTTTAGTATCTAAATTCTTATCGAGTCAAAAATTTACATCAGCTGCCTATGTTTATAGCTTCGGAGTTTTACGTCGGAGGCAAAGACTTAAGACCAGAGGCTTTATCAAGTTTACATTAGCTATCGATATCCATAGCTTTGGAATTATTATGTCAAAGACGCCAACTAAACAAAAATTTAAGATTTCGGGGTCTTATCTTATGTCGTTCCACAGGCTTTATCGGGTCAAAAATTTACACCAGCTGCCTATGTTTATGGCTTTGGAGTTAATAGGTCAGAGACGTCAACTGGACAAAGACTTAAAACAAGATTTTCAGGGTCTTTATCTTACATCACTCCAGAAGCTTTATTGGATCAAAAGTTTACATTAGCTGTCGATATTCATGACTTTGATGTTATTATATCAACTGAATAAAAATTTAAGATTTCAGGATCTTACGTCGTTTCAGAGGTTTATAGGGTCAAAATTTTATATCAGCCGTCTATGTTTATTGATTTGGAGTTATGATGTAGAAACGTCAACTGAACAAAGACTTAAGATTTTTAGTATCTTAATCCAGAGGTTTTATCGGGTCAAATGTTTACACAAGTTGCCAATATTTATGGCTTTGGAATCATTATGTCAGAAATGTCAATCAGACGAAGATTTAAGATTTTACCTTATGTCACTCCAGGGTTTTATCAGAACAAGAGTTATAACAGAGACGTCAACTGAAACTTCTAGTATCTTACCTTATGTTTCTTTATCGGATCAAAAGTTTAAACCGGTTGTGGGCAAAGATTTAAGATTTTACCTACGTCGCTCCAGGGGTTTTATCGGTCAAAGGTTTACATCAACATAGCGGGCTTTATTATGATTGTCTGATTTTTGAAGTTCATCTTATCATAATGAAGTCTTATTAAGGTACCGATTTTCTGTCATAAAATTGAATTCCGAGCCGCGAATATGAATTCCTAAGGGGTAAGACAAAAAAAAAACTAGAAAGTTCGCGTCTTACTAACAGGAGGGAACGTTGATGTTGACTGATCCTTCACCCGGTGTGCAACATATAAAAAAAATTATTTTACAATACCAGATCATTCCGCTAGTACATGTTATGATTATAATCCAACACCATTTTTATTATAATAAAATGGTGTTGGATTATAATCATAACATGTACTAGCGGAATGATCTGGTATTGTAAAATAATTTTTTTATATGTTGCACACCGGGTGAAGGATTGGTTGTGTAACATCAACGTTCACTCCTGTTTAATAATCTAGTTCGGTAATCTGAGAAGTAATTCGGAAATTAGATGAGAGGTATGTTTGAACGTTTATCTTAGAGGTACAATAAATCAATTAACTCGGCAATTTAAGCTGTCTTTTACGTATGTTTCGAAAACTTATTTTTCGTAATCCCAACTAACATAGAAACATAACTATAATATAGGCTAAGAATATGAAGTTGAGAGTCATAAGGTTTATAGATTTCGTGAAAAGAGTCAAAACGAAGTAGTGGTACTGTAACTGTATACCGATTATTAAATTTATGAACCCGCATAATTCGTTTAAGATTTGCAGTATGCATAACTTTGTAATGACCAGATCGTAATTCTGAACACGAATGGTTTTTTAACTGGTACTAACCCGTCAGGTAATCTATCAGGTAGTGTTCCCCAGACCCGAACCGAGACCCGGAACCGATCCGACGGATCGGATCGAATCTATAGTTTTCTGGAACCGATTACTTCGGGGTTTGAAATGGACCCGAACCGATAATAACCGGTCCAACCCAGTAGTGATAGTAAAACGATAATTTCAATATAAAAGTTTTTTTTTCTGTCATTATTTTTACGTTGGAATTTCATAATAACACTAAGATTGTACTTCTGAAGGGCAAAAAGCACCAACCAAAGCTTTTTGCAAGAATGGTGTCGGGATATGATAGGTTGCACGTGTGCCTTGTGCAATTGGATAAATTGTAAGATAAGCGATAACAATGTGCGTAATCTAAAAGCTTATCTCCGTCTAACATAAAGTCTATTATTATGTAATCGTGCATAAATGTGTAAATAAATATGAGGTTCGATCTGATAGATTGAACCCACTTCTGATTTTTCTTGTAAGAACCTATGCCAAAGTAATAGTAATGTTGTGTCTTGTTGGAGAAAGGAGGAGCCAGGTGTTGAAAAAATGAAGTTTTTAGTAAAGTGATTGTAACAAAACAGTATAATGTTTAACTCTTATGACAAATAACGTAAGAACATTTTGCAAGAAAACCAGTATTTTTTTTTTCTTAAAAAAAAATTTTTTAATTGCATTGAATTAAGGCGGAAAAATATTGGTGGCTGCTGCTATAATAAAACCACTGTCTTTTACTTTGAGAAGGGAAAATATTGGCAGAAACTCTTTCTTATGCCAACAATGTTAAGTGTATCTGCATTATTTTATGATGAAACGCAAGAACCAATAGATATATTGTCTGGTGATGAAGCTCAAGAACCAATATATGAGTTGTCTTGTGATGAAGCTCAGGAACTAACAAACATAGCTTACTTAGATGAATTTAATGATAATAAATCAATATCTATGGAGGCTGTTAGTGAGTCTTCTAAATATACAAAGTAATATATTATATCAAAAAAATTAACTATAAGATTATATTATGTTCTAACATACAGTATTTATTTACAGATCATTTGTGTAGAACTATTTTGTGAAGAAAAAAAATAAAGATAGATTAGTTATGATTGTAGCATGTGTATTTTGCAATACAAGTTTAAAAATTCAAGAGAATAGATCAATATCAAGTTTTAGAAAACATCTTTGTAGTAAATATAAAAATAAAGTACCAGAGTTGAAAAAGTCAAATGATGATAATAATGATAAAATGCAGAGTATTTCTGTTTTAGATATATTAAATAACAAAGCTGTAAGTTTTTTTTAATTTGTATTATATTTTTTTAAAAACATTTTCTTATAATATATATATGATTGTTAGAATGAAAATCATAATCATAAACCCTTTGATCTTAAAAAATTCATTGATCTTGTCAAAAAGTGGATTATTAAGTATAATTGATCATTTCACATAGTTGAAGCTAACAGTTTGAGATCAATATTTACATATTTGAATCCTTGTACAAAAGGTACAGTATTTGCTTAATAGATTATTTTTTTACTAGTTTAATTCTATTAAAGTATTTAAAAAAAATTGTTTTTATAGCATCATCATCAAACTTAATAAAAATACATATAGTAAGCAATTTTGAAGAAGAACGTATTCAGTTTCAAAATAAATTGTATAATATTTTCGGATATGTGTTATTAACAACAAATATCTGGACAACTGACAATAATGATAAATTATTTATATCAGTTACTATCCATTATATAAATAAATCATGTTTAATACAAAATATATTACTTGATTTTATCTATATAGACAAAAAATATATAGGCACTGATATTGCTAAAACTATAGAAAAATGTTTTCGTTTTATAAATATCATTTCAAAAATAATAGTTATAATGCATGATAATGTATCTGCAAATGACAAATTTTTGCAAGAATTTTCTGATTCTTTTTTTCAAACTAGTATCTTATTTAATATTACACAACAATTAGTACAATGTTTGTCTATATATTGAATTTGGCAGTATAGAGTATATTTGAAGGATAGATGAGCTGCGTAGTAGCGGAGTCTATCTGCAATTGGAACAAAGCCTTGGAGGAATCCAAAGTATACTGTTATGTGGCTATATCAGCCCAAGTTGGTTTTATTTGTAGATCATTATAATGCTTTCTATATATATTTATGCAGTATTGCATCATACACGTAATTTTTGCTATAAATATTTGCTCTTTTTTTACCCATCATTCTAGTCGTGAAAGCCCAACCATGATTGCCAACTTATTAGCTATTATTTCTACAGATCCTATGTTAAATATTTAATACTAATCTGTATAACAATAATGAATATATCTAATATTCAATTATGTATGTTATTTAATTTATTTCATTATTTTATATATTATTATTTTTTTTTTTTTTTGAGCAGGAGGTTGTGAGTACAGTATTCTTTAGATTCCTCCAAGGCTTCGTTCTAATTATGATAGACTTTGTTGCTATGCAGCTTGTCCATCTTTCAATTAAAACTCTGCCTAGGAGTCATTCGTTGAATACTGTTATTTTGTAGTTCTTTGTTTGTGTTTTCTTCTCCTAATAATAGTGTAATAGTGATCTGAGACGAAATTGTTTCTTTTGACTTAAAATAGTAACTTTTGAATATTGATGATCTTGCCCATATGGCTGCTTTCATAATAAGCTTTACACTTACACCTTTTTCTTATACTATTGTGGCCACAGCGCTTCTTGTCAAATATGGCTTGTATATACTAATATCAATATCGGCTTCTTTTAACGTCTTCTTTATCCAATTATCCAACGTCTCTTCTTTAACAGATGTATAAGATGTCTTTGATATTAAAAATAACTTTTGTTTCTCAGAAGACTCTGATTTGATCTTCTTTGTTCTTCTTAATAGTTCGGCCATTAAAAATATGGAGCATATCTCTTTATCCTCCTTGAATACTAAGATCATACCTGATCTTTTGAGATCTGAATTTTTTGGTTTTGTTGCTGTGAATAATACTGACTCTGGCCATTCCAACTCTCCTTCAAATTAAATCGATTGTCTGTAGATTCTAGCTAAATCAGATTTTGGTCTCCACATGGTTACAATTGCTAAAATCATTAATGTTCTTTTGCTTAACTCTCTTAAGATAATCAACTTAGCTTTGCCCACAGCTTTCATCAAATTTATCATGTCTATTATTTTCTATTATAGAAGTTGTTTATCTCTTAGAGTATCATCTAACTCTTGTTTTGCTTTAAAAATTTGTTTGATTTCTTCACACTCTGATATTTTTAGGTCTTTTCTTGTCATTGATATTGCTGTGCGATAGGCCTTCAATAAATTCAGGGTTGCTGTTTGCGCCATGTTCGCTAAAAAATTAATTACTGACACTAGATCACTCTTCCATAGATCCACATTCTATTTACCACACCAATCCTCGAATTTTTTCCAGTTGCTGTCATAATTCTTCCTCGTCTTCTGTTTTTAAGATTGTTCCAATAATTCCATAGTCTTTTCCAAAAAACCCTGATTTTTCCAACTTTTGCGGATATTAGCTATACGACATGATCTTATCGTAATGGATTTATTATGTTTAATAGTTTCTTCAGATGAACTATCAGATTCTTTCTGGCTCTCAGTATTACTGGTCTTCTGATAGATATTTGTAACACTTCTGCGAACCAATGCTGAGATAGCTATCTTAGTGTTATTAGAATTAGTTTCTTTAATCATTGCCTTTTCATTTTCTGTAGCACTTTTGAGATCAATCTTCAAAGTAGGTTCGCATATGCTTTCATTTTGTTTCATCTCTATTAAAATGTATCGGTTTCCTCTGCTTCTGAGTTCTACATCTTGCTAAAGAATCGTCTCGTTTAATTTGTTAGCCTCGAAGTAAACAAGTCTAATCTTATCTTGTAAAATATTTTCTGAATCTTCTTGAAAATCATTGGGTTTAGTATCTAATCATTTTGATCTACTATCTGTCGACTTAATGTGCCTGCTTGTGTATTTTATTTCCTTGAGATATATTCTGCTTGTAAATTGATCTTTTGCTTTATATATATTTCTCAGATTTCTTGCGCTATTAAATTTAAGTGATCTGAACGTGTTCCCCTTGTTTGTTTATATATGACTGAGCTGTCATATTGTCTGTCCAAACTCTTATTGTTTAATTCTTTCATCTTTTGCCATTTATTTTGATCAAGAATGCAATTGCTTTTAATTCTCTTACGTTTATCAACTCCTTCAATTCCTGTATTATCCAATAACTATGCGTTTTCATGTCTTTCATTGTTATTCCCCATCCCATATTGGATATGTTTGTAAAAACTTCTTCTGTTGCTGATAGAACTAGTATTGTTCTGCTATTCCAATTCTCTAATGACATCAACCACCATTCTCTTTGTTGACTCTGATAATCGAATTTTCGTTTCTCAGGATCCTAATTTCAGTGTTTTGTTCAGATTGATTAATAGGTTTTTGTATTTCAATCTTACTAGAAGAACTGCTTCCATTGTCACATTCAATAGCCTGATTACTGATGCTAGTTTTCTCGATAACAGTAAGTTCTTTCTTAACATCGCCTGGATCTCTTTCCATACCTTCCTTATCTTTCTTTTGGCAATTTTATCTTCATCAAATTCATGTCTATCACAAATCCCAAGAACTCCTTCTTTTTTTGGAAAAAAAACGTAAAAACGTCTTATACCCGAAAATAAGCTACTATACAATTGTCAGTAGTTACTCTATAGTAAAATCAAAATTTTACTAAGTAAATCGATATAGCGTATTAAATGAAAGTTGTTCAGGAGATTAAAATACATATATTTTGAAAGTTTTATCCAAATTAGATAACTTTTTATTAATACGTTTTTGCATGTTACGTTCGACGAATTTTTTAAAATTTTTTTAATGTTTCTTTAAAAT